ATCAAGTGGCAATCTCACCATTACTGTTAGAATGTTTCAGACTAAGGGCAGGTTACGGAGCACATGCACAAAGAACACTTGGAAAAACAAGAAAAAAAGAAAGAGAGTTCCATCCAAGAACATCTGAAATAGGGTTATCTGTTTTCAAAAAATATTATAAATACAAATCAAATAATGAAAATATTAAGAATATATAAAGCTACAGCATTTTAATTTTGTAGGCACTTAAAAAAAAAAAGAAAGAAAAGCCTCTACTTCCATGTTTGCTTTTTATTCCTTTTATACTACTATCATTTCTGCTCTTTCTGGAGATTCCCTGGTCTTTGGATTTACCATACATAATTCTGCTAACTAAAACCTGGAAATTTTTTTGCAACGTCCTTGGACCCTTTGAGTGCTCCTGCTTCTTTGTGCGCAGCTGCAGGTGGATTCAGCTGTGAACATAATTAGCAGGACTTAGCTGCCCCAAGGCAGCCTCAGATTGCAGGGGCAGACACTGAAAAGCTGCTGACAGTGCTCACAGTCATACGGTGCCATTAATTCTACGAAAACAAGAGACTAGCACCAGAGGAGAGATCCTTACCAGTCATCTTTGGTTACGGGGCCACAGGAGTTACTGTTATAAGCAGTTAACTACCACATCCTCATCACCTGCACAAGTACTCAGACTTGCCATACTCAGACTCCTGAGGTGGCGATCTCATTGATTTTCATGGCCTCTAACTGACTTTTTAAGTAGCCTTTTGCCTGCTAGGCTACATGATTATGACAAGCATGCTGAAGTACACGTTGGAAAGGTGGCAGGAGAGCATACCAGGCATCACTGAGTATCACTGAACCCCTGAGGTTCACCTTAGGCAAGCATGGCCTTAGTCGCTTGACTGGGTAATTCTTTCTTGGTCAATAATGTACATATTTGACCAATACTTCAAATGTCTGTTCATCCACAGAGAAAGCAATGGACTACATCGTGGTGCTTTGCAAATTTCCTGCTGGAGATAAACCTAATTCTTGCAATAAGCTTACATTTTGTTTTCCTTTTCTGCTTCTCATGTTCTTAGGTGAAATTGCCAAGAAAACAATACCTAAGTATCTATTGCCTGAGCAAATGGTATTTTAAACAAAACAGGTTACTGCCTGCTTTTGTAATGAAAAATATATATTGCTATACTCAAGATGAAATGTATTAGAAAATGATTTTCTCAACTGAGTTTTCTTTCTCTTTCCTTGCAGGGTGTGAAAGAGCACAAATGTGGAATTTGTGGCCGGGAATTTACTCTGCTGGCCAACATGAAGCGACACGTCCTGATCCACACCAATATCAGAGCCTATCAATGTCACTTATGCTTCAAGAGCTTTGTGCAAAAGCAGACTCTCAAGGCCCACATGATCGTTCACTCTGATGTCAAACCCTTTAAATGCAAGGTGAGTGTCTCTCCTTTGGTGGCAAGGCCATAAAGCCCTGAACATTTCCACAATGTTATTACCTGTGATATGGTTGGACTAGGAAAGCAAGACACATTCTAAAACACACCCTAAAATTGTATTTAAATTAGCATAAAATAGTAGTCTGGTTTCTTTTCTTAATCTAGGTTTTGCTTGCTTGGCCCAAAAGAGGGGAGGTAATGTCTATGATTTACTCCCTTCTCCTTCAATATCAGTAACTTCCCTCTTGAAATACTAGCTCTGCTTAGCATTTAAATGCTACTGTCATTTCAGGACAGTAAACATACCTGACATTTTCTTAGTACATCCATCCAAACAGCAGTCTAAGTGCCTAATAGCTTGAAACACTGTCAAAACGCGCAGATCAATCTGTGCACCCCACCGAGCGCAGCAGTGACACAGCAGCCACCGCCGCTTCACACGGTCATGCCAGGCCAATGGCCAGGGGAGGCTCTGAGAAAGCCACCCCAGAAGAGAGCTGCAGAAGGGATCTGAATGCACCAAACGTAATTACCAGGCTGAAATTCAGAGCAGGACATCAGTCACCCAGCAAAATGGCTTTCTGACAAATACATCCTGCCTTTTTAGGCTCCCCTGGGAAGGTAGGACTGCTCCCTCCCTCCCGCACAGCACAGGTTGACACTGTCTGTCTATCCTCTCTTTCCTCCCCATAAACTTGGGAGGCTCTGGCTTTCCTCACTCTGCTCATCTTCAGTCTCTTCCTTATGAATTATTAAAGTTCCTTTTTGCACCCAGTACTGGGCACTGCATCTGCTCCTTTTTCAGCCTGTGTGGTTTGTTAGTGCAGCCATACCCTGTGAAGCCAGAGGTTGCTGTTTTTTCCCCACTTTGATCTGCTCTAAGAGGACTACAAATATAGAATGCAGTGTATTATACAGTTTATGCATAAGTGATTGAAGGTTGATCTGGAAGCAATTTCTAGAGCTCTTTCATCCAACATCATCATAGGATTAAATATTTTCTTAAAAGGAATATTTCATTAAGAAGTAGAGCTGGATGAAAATTCTAAAATGGAATTACTTTCTCTTGGAAAATGTAGAACTTCAAAATGTCATAAGAAAGTATGGTTTCCACTGATAATTTTAAAGAAAATTTCAAAATGAATCTTTTCAACTTCATTTTGCTTTGATAACGTTGAAGCTTTTTACTTTGAAAAAAATAAAAGCAAAGGCTTCCAATGACAGCATTTTCTTTCCTCTTAGCTTATATCCTAGTAAAATGTTATTTTGTATATTAGTGCTTATGGTGTTCTACATAGGTAAATAATTTCTATTATTGGAATTATTTCTATTATTGGAATTCCGTGTCAAGAATACCTGCAAACTCCTGTTTTGTTTTCCATTTGGCCAAACCCACCTCTGACCCATGCAATTTCAGAACCGAAAGGCAATGATCTGATCAGCCATTGCAGAGGCCGTGTCTGGACCCAATGCTGCTTGTGAGACTGGTGCCAGCTGGCTGGCAGCTCACGTTCAGGATAGGACTTGATGATGACAAGCTGCTGAAACGTGAGATGCCAGCAGGGTAACCCAGGCCCTACAGTGCCAGCAGTACATTTTCCAGCCCGTAAAGCTCTGCAGGAGCACCTGCTTTTCTTATTTTTCTCTTCTCTGTCCCCACCCAATGTCCCAAGGAGACAGAAATGTGTAAGCCGCTGAACCTGCCTGCACCTGACGTTAATGAACCCCTGCAGCAAGTGGGGATCCCAGCTGCCAGCAAAGGGAGAATCGGGAATCACCCGCTGGCCTTTGGAAGAACCTTTGCCTCCCCGGTGGGGTCCTTCAAAGAGACGAGCAAGCATCTCTGGCTGGTATTCAGAGGGTTAAGGCAATGACCAGATAGCAGCCTTTTGGCACCAGGCTCCTCCTCGGCAGAAGGAAGGATATAGCTGTATGAACAGGCTGCTTAACAATGGCTCACATGTCCTCGGGGAGCCGCCTGCAAATAGATTTCATCTTGCTTTCTCTTGTACTTTTCAAAGTTTCCTGTTTTCTCACGGTCCTTTTGGACAGTTTACAGTCTTTCTCCCTCTCTCTTTGAGGAAAGGAACACCCTTCTTATGAAGAAAAAAATAAAAAGAAGAAGAATGCAAGGGAAAGGGAGCACAGCAGTAGCCTTTCTACTTCACCACATGCCATGGTTTTCTTTACCTTTTTCTCACAGCAAAAGAAAACACAAGCTTTCCTATCTGCCTAATCACAGCTAAGCACGGACTACCTGAAGTGAGTGCATAGCAAAGAGTTGTCCCTTCTGTTTCCTCATCCAGCTGCCGCCTGGAGCTGCACGGGATTTTGCTCTGGAGAGCGAATGTCTCTGTAGGTTTTAAAGGCCCGAGTCCATGTGTCCTGCTTTATTTTTGCTGTAAGCAAAACACTGGAGAGTTCTAAAGGAGTTGCAGCAAGTGGTGCAAGTGTAGCTCTGATTTGTAAAGAAAACTCCTCCTGAAATTTATAGTTGCTTTTAGTGCTGAAGTCAATAATGTTTCAGACTAGTAACAGGGAATATAATAACGTTTTCTTGAGCCCAGCCAACTGCACTTTGCAGCAAACAGATATGAGCCACCTTGCTCCTGCAAATACGCAGCTCAGACTGAGTCTAAGTAACTTTTATCACTGATTATCACTGATTGTCAAAATCTCTTCTGGAGACCCTTTGCCCTGTAGGAATGTGCTTATACACCTGTGATGAGCTGGGTCCTGTTTCTGTGTCCCTGAGATTTTATCTCTCCTGCGAGATAAAATCAATCTTCATGCCTATTTGGCACTGTTTTCTCCTCACAGAAGTGCCATTTTACACCATTGCACATAAAATCCCACTTTTAGACAAGGACTCAAAAAACAAACAAGTAAACAAAAGAACAACCTGTGAGCTACAGGTACTGAGGGACAAAACGAAACAGACTGACCAAGCTGGTGGCTGATGCTCCATGTGGTGGCAGAGGAAGATGCAACCTCGTGCTGAGCTAACAGGCTTTCTCTAGGAAGCTTCTGAAGTCCATCGCCCTGGCTAGTGCACTGCCTGTGTTCAGCAGACTTACAGCTGAGGACTTCATCCTCAGGGCCTGCATTCAATCCCAGCTAAGTTACAGAGCTCCATGTCCACATATGAACTGTGCCTTTCCTGCCACCTCCAGATCTCTCATGTGAGCTTTGCATTTTCCTCTCTGCTGACTTCTGCTGGAGCTTTCACCCATGTGGCCCGGGCTCTGGGTCATCTTTCGCAATCTGCTCCATCAGACTCGGGCTATTTCTTGAGCACTCTCTCTACTCCAGCTACTTCTGAGCTGTTGTCTTCTAGGGCATGTGCCTGGGACCAACTCCCCTTGTCGTCGGAACCATCGAGATTCATTTGACACTCAGATTGTGCCTTCCAAAAGGGGCAGCTCACCTGGACACTGTGCCGTTGGGAGCCACCCTTCTGCAAAACATCTCTTGTGGCCGCGCTTCTTGCACTTCCCTGCCACTCCCCTCCAGAGGAGATTCCGGATGGTGCGGGACTTTGGGAAATCAGAAGCCTACTCTCTTTATTCAGAGACAAAAGACAGAGCTGTGCTGCATAGGATGATCCTTTAGGAAGTCCCCTCTATTTATTTATGAATAAATATTTATGAATAGAATATTGTCTTGTCAGAAAAAAATGCTTCTGCCAGACCCATTTTAACACTCAATACCTCACAAAGATACAGATTTGAATGAAGTAATCTAACCACTCAAGTATCCAGCTTGATTTTCTTTGATTATCAGTTTAGATAAAGAGGTAAAGATACAGCTATCAGAAAGCAACAGTTGGTGAGGACACAGATTGCCCATAATACAAGCAGATAACCAAAAGCCTCCTGCTAAGAGGCACTAGGGAGCATATTAGTGAGAGACCATTTGGTGTTCTTACAGGCAGAGCAATCCTGATGCCTCGTAGCTTGTCCCAGCTGCTGTCAAGATATAATCAGCTGCTGCTCTTCCTCATGAAGCTGCTGCTCATCCTTCTCCTGTGCTTTTGTTTCCTCCCAGTGCTTTCCAAATGCTTTTTGTGCATTCATTTCACTGAACACAAACCCGGGGCAGGTCAGCCTTCCCTGACCACAGAGCAGAGACGCTCCTCTTTCCTATGCAGAGGGACGAACCTTGGAAGCAAATGTCTTTCATGAATACTTTACAAGTAAATAATTCGTTTTCTGTGGGCTTTTTTTTCCCTTTACTTTTTCTGTGAACACTTTTGTTGTCAAATTTATTTGTTAGAATGTTCATTCTAGCAAGAGCGTAAAGAGAAAATCACAGGAGAAAACCAAGGCAGTTCAAGTAAATAATTTTTAAAAAGCAAGTGAATATTTCCTTTTTTTTTTCAGCATTCACTCAGCTTTAGTTTTTATTTAAAAATGGTATCTCTGTAAGCTATTACATTACTTCTTTTCACTAATGAACCTTTACATTAATGAACTGCTTCTATTTTCCCTTGAGGTAAGGTTTAAGAAGGAAAGGATATGATTCTACCTCACCTGGGATCAGTCCACAATCTAAAGCTCATCTAGATATTCCGGCTTTGTGAATTTAAATCACAGATTAAAGTAGCAAACTTTCTGTATTCCCAAAATAAATTAAAAGTCAGATTAGACCAAAACTGTGGATGAACCTCAGTAGCCACTTTCCAAGCACCTTACCTCGGATGAGTTACGCAGCTGTATGTAATTTCCAGCTACTCAGTAATGATGATTCTGGATCTTTTAACAGGGGAGAACATAATAAAATAATTCTGATGTTAAAATTATGTGCCTAAAGTCATATCAAAGATAAAGTAGAAAGCAGACAAGTTTACAGAAGGTGGAAATACCCACTTGAATGTGAATAAAACTGTAACTCCTAATAAGGAAACATCAGAAGACACGTAAGACTAGAAGCTTATATTAGCGATGTCAAACTCTCATGTCTAGAGAACATACTTTATTTATAAGGGATGAGACTATAAAAGGAGTCATCTAGAAAAAACAACAATGAAAAAATTCCCTTATTGTTTCATCAAAGGGAAGCCTTCAGGACCAATGGCTGAAGCTGGCAGGAACTGGCTCCAGGGAGAGCTGAGTCACTGCTGCAGCCCCATGACTGCTAAATTCCAACTCGCTCACCAGACACACTCAGACACAGAACCTGGGAAATAGCAGAGGAGAAGCAGAGAAAAAAAATGGGGCAGCAAAAACACAAGCTAAAAAGGAATTGCTTTTTCTAGCTTTAGGCAAAATGTGCAGTCTTTTCAATTCCATTTAAGGAGAAGTGATATTCTGTTTGGCTGTTTCACAGATACCTTTCATTGGTTTGATATTGTACTTCCATCTTGTCCTGCATTACTTGATTAATAGATTCTATTTAGAAGAACAGATTCTATTCTATCTAGATTTATAAACTATAAAGCAAACGGTTCACCTAAGCAGTAAGTTACATATTTTGGATTTAATTCAAGTTAAGAGCTTTTCAGGTTATGCAATTATGTCTCTCCTCTCCTTACAATAACATTCCCTGATCTGAGGGGATCCTTGATTGTGTGTCCTCCAGCAGCCCCAAATTTAAAAAGCTAGAGTTGTGCAGAAGGGCTTAGATGGGGCAAAATCCTGTATTTTTGTATGCATGACTTTCTTCATGTCTATGACAGAAAAATAAATTGCAACGGGAATCTGCCAGGGCTTAAGTTAGAGATGCAGGTCCTATTTTCTTTTAAAATGTTCACCTTGAAAGTACCTCTAGAAATAATTTTCATTTTTACTGCTTTTGACAGCTGTGTGGAAAGGAATTTAACAGAATGCACAATTTAATGGGACACATGCACTTGCACTCAGACAGTAAGCCTTTCAAGTGCCTCTACTGCCCCAGCAAGTTCACCCTGAAGGGGAACCTAACCAGGCACATGAAAGTCAAACATGGAGTCATGGAAAGAGGATTTCATTCACAAGGTAAGATTTATCAGTAACGTTGTTCTCTAAGAGGTTTCTAAGAGGTCCACCAGTACCACCTAAAGGGCTTTGTACTGCAGATCTAGATCTTGTGTCACAGACCCAGTGATACTGGAAGAGACTGAATCTCTTAAGCCTGAGAGGTTCTTATTCATTCCCTGATTACTTTAGTGCTATAGATGAGGGACCTCCAAGGTACTGGCCTTGCATCACAGACCGTTCAGGCTAGATAACTTATGGCACAGAAGGACAGACCAGAGTAACAGATGAAAACAAAATGGTTGCAAACCAAGGAGCCTTTCTGCTTAAAATACATGTATTCTGTGCCATATTGACATAGCTGACTTTAAAGGAAGCCCATGGGCTCAACATACAGCTAACAAGGAAGCAAACAAACTGGAAGAGGCACTCCTCCCCATCTCAAAGTATATGGATTTTTGTTCCTGCAAAGCATTTCCTATCTTCCATCCACCATACACACTTCCTAAAATTGGCCTCATGTGTGCACATGTGCCAACACTATCTAAAGAAGTGGGGAAATTAGGGAGGATTGTTTGGAGAGTTTGAGTATCCCAGATATTTTACTTGCTAAGACTTTCTGGATATATTTATCTGCTTGAAAGAGTGAAGAACATTATTTCATGGTGTTCCTCAAAATCAGCCTTTAAGGCAGCCTAGCATGAGTGGAAACACCCCTAGTGACATTTGGGATAAAATTTACGTGGTTCCTAAAAGATAATAATATAAATGGCTTTTGTTTTTTTCCCTGTAAACCTCCTACAGATCATGCTAGTTACACAGTTGCTTGTAACTGAAGACAGGCTAAGTGCTTTCCAGTGTACACAGATTCTTCAGCCTTGGTGTCTGATCAGACACAATTTGCAAAGGCTGCCACCTGCTCATAAAGCACTTTAACAAACACAACCTGTGGGAGTGGAGCAGCTGGGTCCAGTGAAGCTGCATAAATGATGCAGAAATTGGATCCAAATATGGAGGGGAAAAAAAGGCAGGAAAAAAACCCAACTACTGTAGTGACTCTAATAGATTTTTGCTATGAGATGACACCATCACTGCCTCACTTACTATCATTACATTTTTAATTAAGATGAACTGAACTTGCAGTGTCTGGATCTTCCTCAGTGCATCCTGATATCTGGGGAATATCTGAGCCTATGGATGCTTTCTGGGTTTTCAGCAAGGAGAAGAGAAACAGTAATATTAAGATGAATAGCTTCATAATTTGATTTTAAGGATCTCCTCAAGCTGTAGAACTAACTAGTGCAGAGCTTTGTGGTAGCACCAGATGAGAGAGCAAAAATCAGGGACAGTGTAGGTCACATACCCATCAGACATGATTGCATGTTCACTTCTTATATAGCAACTTTGTCCTGGAGTGTCCACAGAACAAACATGTTAACATGTTTAATCTGTCCCACTCCTCTGGAAAAAAAAGTGGACAAGCGCAGGACTTTGATTATGGCATGTGATGATTTAGATCAAAGTGTTGATTTAAAAAAAATAGGAAACAGGAGGAAGTGGGTTGGTTCCTCGTCAAAAAATAGTTTGCAAGAGGCCAGGACACTTCGCTTTTATTCCTAGTTCTCTCATCGAGTGTCTAGCATGTACAAGACAATGTTTCATCCCTGACCTATCTGTAAAGTAGATACAATAGCACTCCTTTTAAGAGCATTTCAAAGGAGATGCCATAATCTGTAAACATTGAAGTGCTTGGAAATAGCTGGGTGGAAGACAAAGGTAATAGAAGTGAATAGAAGGTCATCTCACTTTTTATTTTTTTAACCATACGTTATGTAGTCAAATGTGCTATATATAAATTTTACCTTTTCTCCCTGCTTAAACCACTACAAGGTTTTGGAAGAGGAAGAATTGCTCTGTCCCAGACAAATGTCTTAAGAAGTTTGGAACAGGAAGAGCCCTTTGATCTTTCCCAGAAAAGCCAAGGGAAGGGAATCTTGTTTCATTTGGATAGCGAGAGTGCCAAGGGGAGCTTGTGCCAGGAGGAAGAGGAAGACAACTGCTACAAGGCAGAGCAGTACAGCCCAGGCAGGTACCGCCACGCGAGCAGCAAGCTCTACGTGCCTCGCGATCAGCTTGGCAAACCGCAGCGCGCCAGCAAGGACGTGAGGGAGCCCTACGGCACCGAGAGGGAGGAAACGCTGCGGGAAGGAGGGCTCGAGAAGAGCGCCGGAGACTCAGACGAGCCGGAGGGCCAGGGAGAGAGAGACCTTGCAAACAGCAAAGAGCTCCTCAGCTTTAGGTCCTTTGAAAAGGGCAGAGTTGGCCATTCTCTCTCTGATTACTTGTATTTCAAGCACAGGAATAAAAGTTTGAAGGAATTACTGGAAAGAAAAATGGAAAAACAAACAATGCTTATAGGCATTTAAATGGGCAACATATTAAACCAGCTGGCAAATGCAAAGCAGAGAGCTTTTAGCATGATTTGTACTTTACCAAAGACTGGAAGGTGGTAGCAGTCTTTAGGGATGAACAAGCTAAATCAATAAAGATAATTTAAGGTAAAATGTGCACATTCAAGGACTAAAGCAGGCCAAGGGCATCAAGAAAGGCAATAGGTATGGAACAAAAACATTTTGTACTTACTCATTTTATATATAAGGAGGGTTTACTTTCCTTTATCTGGGGTGGTAGAGACTTTTCTTGTAAGTTTTCTAGTTATCAAAAAAGCAATGTCCTTCAGCATTTGTTTTATTATCTGACTAAATATATAAGAACACTTCTAACCATAGATCTCAGAAAAATCTGAACATACTAAACATTTCATTATACAAGCAAGATTTCTGTTAAATATGGTGCTCATGAAAGATCTGTCAGTCTCTGAAGTAACAAAATTCAAATATTTTGTTTATCGAAATGACTGTGTTAGTTCAACCACCTGCAATGAGAAATAGGGAAAAATTAAGAGGAAATGACAATGTCTTGTGAGTTAGCAAAGTGCTAAAAGTAAGCTTCTAAAAGGACTGGAGCTGGTTATGGCCACGGAAGCTTTTCCTCTGGCATAAGGGATTCATAGATTCATAGAATCTTTAAGGTTGGAAGGTTTTGCTACATTTCTATCAGTATGAGAGTATTCAACAATTCCTCAAGTGAAACAATGGACTGTGTTGGCATTTTGTGCTATGGTCGGCTCAGACCAGTACATTTAATGAGCAGCAGCAGCAGCGCATTTGCAAGTCTTCCTGTAATTGCATGTAAAGCAACGAGAGTCATTTCATTGAGAAAATGATATAATTTTGCCATTTATCTCTTCAATTTATCTTGGCTATCAAAGATGATTTTAAATTCCACAGTCTGATTAAATTTTATCTTAGAAGGGACACCAGAAAAGAGCCCCCACAGGCCAAGCAGCACCCCACAGAGAAAATCACCCTTCAGCTTTCCTCTTATGAGTCACAGATTTTCCCTTAACACAGTTTGACTAGTAAGGGTTGGCCCTTCAGAAATATAATTATAGTAAAAAAGAGTTCTACTAATGCTGTTTTCTCAGCTTTTTATCCTCTGGTTTGCACATAAGCACATGTTTGTGCATGCAGCATAAGTGGTTAAAACCACTTTTCATTAAGCATATCCCGTTAACTGCATGGATTGTTTGACCAGGGCCTTGTTTCCTGCATCTTCAAGATATATGACAAACAGCCCCAAGCCATTCTGCTGCTTCAGAAGGAAATCAAGATTTAAAGGTCTTTTAAATATTCCTATGTCATTTAGATATTCCAGCTCCACAGGTTAAACCCCATAAATATGGCACATCACTTACAAATACTACAACGTCCTTTATTTACCTGTGAAGAGCTTGATTTAAAATACATTGTTATCATGCTCAATATATAATAAGTTTTTACCAAATATAAAGTCATACAGTTATAGCTTCCTAAGGCTAAAGCTGCAGCTACAGCTCACTGCCATTATGAGAAACCTCTCACTTTACAGCAGTAATAATTCTCACACCTACCAGTGATTCAGCATGCACAGGACAACACTCCCTACTCATCAGGTAAAACCACGTTTGTGCAGTCTGAGACTGCAGAAGGGATTTCACTTTTCAGGGCTCAAATGTAGCACATAATAGGTAAGAAACATTATCAACGAAGAGCAGAAAAAAACATTGGTAAGAAGCTTAAACGTATGCATCATCCTTCTAAACATAATTTACCCCAAAGCTGGTGCATGTACCTCTTTAAAACAAAGAAGGCATACCAAGTTGTGGTGGAGTGCAGGCCACTGGGATTGAAGTAAGTGATGTCCTTCGAGACAAAGCGTATTTCAGAGGTGCATAGAACATGTGCTTTCAGTGATGGACTGTTTTACCATAGACATAAAATCTATCCCTTGCTTCCACTGCAAGGCACCTCCATTTAGAAAAGGAGCCATCTTTTAAGGAAGACAATGTGGTCAAGTAGAAGAGTCAGAAAATTTTGAAGAGTAATGTGTACAACTCTATTCTTTCACAGAGGGGAAAAGAATGCATTGCAAAGCCTTGTTGTCTGCAAATTTGAGAGTTACGGGAGAGACAGGCAGTTTTTATCAAGACAGAGACAAATTGTTGTGTATCAAAGCATTTCAGACCAAAAGAGCAGTCTTCTGCAACAAAGGAGAGATGTTCAGCAAAGCTCAGCTCCCATTTGGTACCCAAACGACTGAGCACAGCTTTCAGAAATGCTCAGTGCAGTTGAATATCTACTTCTGCTTGAGAGTACTATATACCTGAGGTCTTGGTCCTTAGTGCTGGGGAAAATCTGTATGCAGCAGATAGCATCAAACCCACCAAGGCAAGGTCTGCTAACAGTATGCAGGAGCATCACTGCCTCTCCAGCACTCCCCTGCAGACCATGTAAGGGCAAATGTCAGAGGTGTCATCAGGAAATGAAATCACCACACAAAAATTGGGCTGTCTGAGTGGTTAACCAAGACACTTTCAACCACACCTTCACTGCAGTGAGTTACCCACTTACACAGTTCCTCTTCTCATTGCAGCAAAAACAGTAACAAGCCATAGTCAGGTAAAAAGGAGTAAATGTGCCCAAAACAGCAAGACTCATTGGCCTTAATTCCTAATTTACCTCCCTTTCCTTTAATCCCTCCTAGAAAAGAGAGAATATTCCATTCCAATGAGGCTGTGTATGTGACCATGTCTCACTAAGCTAATTTATCCATAACAAGGGTAATGCATCCTAGGGCAGTAAAGAACACATCTTAAAGCCACTGTAAGTCACCACTCAGAAGAACTGCAAACAAGGCTATTGCTGAGAGAAATAGCAAGTACCAAGGTACTCCAGCAAAGCGATTAGCAGAATGATAGTCTCACTACTGCAGAACACAGTATAGCTGGGTCCAAGAGACGTGTTACACAGAGGACCCAAGGGAGAAATTAAATGTGAAACAACAGTCTTCATTGTAAAGCACCTTGCTTTTCAAACAGAAGTCATTTTCACCCTATTTACATTGGCACTGTTTTGGGAACAGACAGTAACAGCCTTTGCTTTTTAATAGCTTTGAAAATGCTTTATAGAAATTTGTTCTCTTACCTAAGGTATTTACCATTTCTAATTTTCAATGGATCACCTTCCTTATTTTGCTTTGAGCAGAGGCTCAGAAGCCCTATAGAGATATGCCCATGTCCTGTGTTGTAGGTAATCCCAGAACAAGGAATAATCTGAGTTTGACCAGGACTCAGCCATCTCCTTGTGACCCTGAGTTCTCCTGCCTGCTAGGCAGCTTTCAGTCTGTGACAGCAAATATAGGTGCTATGTGCTTAGCAACTCAAAGAATAAAATGGTTTATGAAAATGTTGTAGCAGAGGATCATCATGTGCTGCGTTCTATTTGCTATGCTCTTAGAAGGTTATTTATCAGAAAGTAGTGCTGTTGTACTCTTCTTTTTTATAATTCCTTATTGGTCTAGAGGCTACTCTCTCATTTTTCTCTTCATAAGGTGCTGCTGGACTCTGCTGTTATGTGTGTACAGTTAAGAAGTAATATAAGTACTATATTTATTATTCCAAGAAGTATTTAATAATTATTAACAGTTTGAAAATAAGTCATGTCTGCTTAGCTGAACAAGATGTAACAGAGCTAACATTTTGTACTCCTAACAGATTTTGCAAATGAAGTTGTATATATTTATTTCACACAGAACAGGGGTTTCCTATTTAAAACTCCAATTCAAAAAGTGGACCAGCCTATCTGTGAATATTTGGTTTCTGGCTTTCTATCTCAGTAGTAAAAGCAGTTCTCCTGAAACTAGTATACACAATGTATTGTATTAATTTAAACAAATAAACATATACTAGAAATGTTCCTTTACTTTGTAATGAAACGGATCAGGAGTTCTTGACACCCGAACACATAATGAATACGTGGGGTTGGTCTGACAAGGTCATACTTTCCTCAGCAGCACTAAGGAGTAACTTCGGCAATGAGAAGCCTAAAAGGGTGGCAGAGGACTACGTAGGAGACAAGAGGAAGGGGCTGCCAGGTTGTCTGGGGTGGAGACACTGCAGAAAGAAGATAAGAAATGCTCTGCAATTACTACAGCATTTGTTAATATAGCCTAAATCAAGCAAAAAATGGAAGATGTAATTTTTATCCTCAATAATTTTCATAGATCTGCATCCTGTAAAAAAAAAAAAGATATTTTATAAAATTGCGGTTCAGAATTTAGGGATGCTTTTGCAATTCCAGATTCTAAATAAGTGGAAGACTCTGAACTCAGATGGTCAAAGTTACTTTTTTTCAAATGGAGAGCATCACTTTTAAACAACAAGTTTGTTCTTGGATTGTTTTAATGAGATCCTGGAACTGGCATACTCAAGCTTCACAGAGCCCATTGTAAGTTGCTTTTGAACACAGAGGAAAAGTATCTGGAATACTATAAAATATTTCAAGTAATAAATGAAGTTATTTTGTTTATAGTACTCAGACAGCTGCATCTCTAGTGCTGGAAGGCTTATATGTATAAATACCAGAAATACAGGCAAGACACTGAACAAAACTGTAGACCTTTTCTGTTTTTTTTGTGTGTGTGTGTGCGTGCGTTTGTTTGTTTTGGGGTTTTTTTCTTCCTTTCTGATTGTAGGTAGCAACTATTATGAATATTATAAACTAGTTCTACACGAGGAGGAAGATATACTTCTTTAGCTGGGCAGTGACCTAATTCATTCCCATGTGACTCAGTATCAGTGACTCTCAACATTTTGTCTTGGCTTGTTGCAACAATATGTATTGGGAAAAAAATATATTTTGTCATTTTCATTGTTTTCCTTTCCATTTTTGTTGAAAACTGGACTGTGCTCACTTAAGTTTTCAAACAACCAGAAAGAAAGCAAAAGGAGAGTCTGAGATTCTCCTGGGAGAACTGCTGAGTCTGTTTTTTTGTAGGGAAATGTGGAGAAA